TGAGTCAACCTTGAGCCGGTGAGATTAGAACCGCTGAACTGCAGATAACAGTCAGCTGAAGTGGCCTGCAGTACTGCACCCTAACCACTGCACCACCTCGGCAGTAAAAAGATTTACTGCTTCCGGAGCAACCGAAGGGAAAGGATTAGAATCTCACTCAAGGACCGAACTTTCAATTAACACAACTTACAAAAAGGCTTTAGTTGAACAAGCTTGCTTAAACCCGTTACGAGGGGACGCAAAGCGAATTTAAAGCAAAGGATGGAGACTTTAACGATCAGATGGCCAAGACCGGTCCAGCGCTCTGCATCATAGCCCCATAGCAGGGATGTCAAACTCAAAGCCCGCAGGACAGATCCGACTTGTGATGTGGTTGGATCCGGCCCACAAGGGCTATCCTGGGAAATGTAAGGGGCTGGCCTGCATCGCTTCAGCCCAGTCTACCCGCACTGCTCGGCTTGGTCTTGTTGTGGCCTGCCAGTGGCCACTGGAACTGGCAGTAGAGTCGGACAGTGAGGAGGTTGGGGAGGAACATGGGCCAGTCTTGGAGTCTGGGGAAGGCTCGGATGAGGGCTCTGCGTTGGAGGCAGAGAGGGGGCCAGAGCCGTATGCCAGTTATCAGCTGCCTTCAGAGTCGGACATCAGTGAGGCAGAGGAACAGGGGGAGCCTGTTCCCAGTGTGCGCATGGGCAGAGCTGCCAGAAGAAAAGAACAGCTCAGAAATCAGGGTCGACTTGGGAGTAAAGCCACAGGTGGATGGTGAATGGCCCCTCCCACAGGAAATAAAAGAGGAGCGAAAGGGGAAGGGGCTTCTGCAGGAAACAATTCGGTTTTTTTGTTTCAGGAGTATGAAGATCTGCCTGTGAATCCGAGAGACTCTGTGCCAAGACTTTCTCTTGCACAGCACTGAGGTTGGAAAATATTTGCATGGCAGCTTTCCAAGCTAGATAAGGTCTCTGATCATAAATTCACCTTTGAAAGACTGTTTACTAGGCCTTTGCTGAATGGGAATGAGAGGAATCCACATTCGTTTAATAAAAGGGGTTTTGTCAGGACCAGGATTCTGCTTCGTGCTTTCTGGAGGAAGCCAAGCTCAGAACATGCAAAGACGAAACATGCCAGCAGTTTGGGGAGTGGCATCAAACTGCTACCCAATCCCCCACTCGGCCCCTCCCAGCCCCCCAGGTCAACCACAGCACTGATGCGGCCATCAATGAAATTGAGTTTGGCACCCCTGCCCTATAGCAACCGCCTTTCTTGGAGACATTGTAGTAAAAGGTCATTTGGACGCCCCCCACTTCACCCCACGAGGACTCGGCAACTTACCTTTATCAGCAGCGTCTCCAACAATGATTTTGCCTCCCCTCTTGCTGGTTTTCTCTACCGACAGGGCGGTGCTGAGACCCTGTTCGTGCTTCCCCAAACCCTGGCCTTCCCGGAAGCCGTATTTCTGCATGATCTTGTGAGCCACCGTGCCTCTGGAGACAGAAGGGAGAATGAGCTGACCCGTCAGGCGTGGGAAATCAAGTCAGGTGGGTGCTTTGGATAGTCGTCTGAAAGGCAGCTAGTCTCCCGACTTTCAACGGTTCATTTAGTGGATGGAAACTAATCAAGGAGAGAAAGCAACCTAGAACTACGGAGATGCTTCCTGACGGGGAGGAACAATCAATCGGCGGAACGACTTGTCTCCAGAAGTTGAAGATGCTCCAACACTGGAGGGTTTTTGAGAAGAGGTTGGACATGTGTCTGAAGTTGTATACGGTCTCCTGCTTGAGCAGAGGGTTGGGCTAGAAGACCTCCATGGTCCCTTCCAATTCTGCTGTTCTAGTGACTGTTCCAAGTTACAACAGCACTGAAAGAAGTGACTTATGACCGTTTTTAAAATCGTTGCAAGTGGCCCAATGGCCACGTGATCAAAATTCAGCTGCTTGGCAACTGACTCATATTTATGAGGGTTGCAGAGTCCCTAGGTTGTGTGATCTCCTCTTCCTTCTTTAAAAACAACTTTTTAAAAAGGAAAACAAGGGTAAACTTTCATTTAAAATGCGTCATCTTCTCATTTTGTTGCTATTTTCACTTTCCTTCCCCACAACAGCCCAGATGGTGACAGCTGTTACCATGGCAACTCCACTGTGCTGTACAGTAGAAGCCATTTTAAGGCACAACAGGCTGTATCTTAACAGAACTTGAATCTAAAATGCACACTATCAATGTCAAAAGTACTGCCATTTGATAATATAGATATAATTCATTCCTTTTCATTTTAGTGGCCCAGGCGTTCCAGAGTTATGCTGGAAAACACCCACACATACACACATAGCCATTTACATATATATAGATTCCTAATGTGTTCCGCTACTGTCCCCCTAGTGGTCTTTTTCAGGACGTCTCCCAAGCGCTCACCCCATGTTTGCAAGGAAGGAATTGCTGGGCCCCGTTGGGGAACGAGGTCTCTCGGGCTCATCGTACATCGGAGGAGGAATAGCAGCCTTGGATGATGAACCCCGAGGCCTTGACTCTTCCTCATAGGAGGATAAAGCTGTGGAGAAGAAGAAGACGGGATATTTTATCCTCAAGGCAAAAATCTCTAAGCTTGATTCCTATGCTTTACTTGACCTTGCAAATAGGTTTCTTTTTATCCCTTTATCTTATCAGTTACAGCATTTTTCTTTCTTTCTTTCTTTCTTTCTTTCTCTTTCTTTCTTTCTTCTTTTTCTTTCCTTACCTTGTAAATATCTTCATCACTACCATATTAATGAAACAGAATCCCTTTATCTTATCCGTCACAGCTTCTTTCTTTTTCTCTTTTTTCCTTCCTTCCTTCCTTCCTTCCTTCCTTCCTTCCTTCCTTCTTCCTTCCTTCCTTCCTCCCTTCCTTCTTCTGTCTGCCTCTAATTTATGGCTAACACACTCTTTGCAAGCGTCTCTCAAGAGCTATACAAGACAAGACAGCAGTTAAAATTGACTCCAGGATCCCACTACCACATTCTTACATCCCTCCATGTTCTTCCAATGATCAAATCTATAGGTACTGTATTTTTCGGAGTGCCCCCAAAAGCCATTAAATTGGATCTAGTCATGTAGGTGCCTCGATTTACGACCGTCATGATTTAAGATGGAAATTCCGGAGTCCATTTATTTATGTTGGTTTGCTGCCCATCTCATTTTGAGTGACTCTGGGCAGATACAGTTGTAAGTCGAGGACTAGCTGCAAGTTAAAGAAAAATGCGTACGTTCTTTGTCCTTCTCAACCAAAGAAGTAGGTGGTGCAATGGCAGCTCCTCCCATACCTGTATAAGAAAAAACAACAACAAATAAATAAACTTATCTATGAAAGTTATTATATAACTTATAATGAGCTGAGGTGGCACAGTGGTTAAATGCAGCACTGCAGGCTACTTCAGCTGACTGTAGTTCTGCAGTTCGGCTGTTCAAATCTCACCGGCTCAGGGTTGACTCAGCCTTCCATCCTTCCGAGGTGGGTAAAATGAGGACCCGGATTGTTGTTGGGGACAATATGCTGACTCTGTAAACCGCTTAGAGAGGGCTGAAAGCCCTATGAAGCGGTATATAAGTCGAACTGCTATTGCTATAATAAATGTATTCATCTTTAAAAGGCCACAATTCTTGGTTGTGGGGTTGTTGTTGTTTTGGCTGCAAAGCTTGTTGCATTAGAAGTCTCTAAAGGGAGTTGAAATAAGGAGAATTTCTTCCATAGACATTTAGATCGCTCACAAATTAATGGCTCTACAATCAATTCCTCTGTTGCTTCAAGTAGGATGTAAATGGGTTAGAACGGTGTTTCTCAACCTTGGCGACTTTAAGTCCTGTGGACTTCAACTCCCAGAATCCCCCTGGCTGGGGGATTCTGGGAGTTGAAGTCCACAGGACTTAAAGTCGCCAAGGTTGAGAAACACTGGGTTAGAAGCTCATCTACGTCAGTGGTGGGTTACAACCGGTACGCCTTGGTATGGGCATACTGGTGCCTGTCGGGAGCACCAAGTACCGTTCTGGTATGGTGCTCCGGAGGTCCCACCCGCCGCCCACGCTCCTTACCGGAATTTGAGGTTTTTGGGACTTCCGTGCAGGGAGCATACGGTGTCTGCATGATGCTTTGCCGAGCAGCTGGAGCATTGCGGAGGGTAAGTATGCATGTGCGTGCTGGATGTGTGCATTCATGTGGTGGACCCGTACCGGTTGCAACGGGACCTGGAACCCACCACTGATCTACATCCACTTGAGACAACCTAGGACTGTTATGGTGAACCTGTGGCACGTGTAGCCATCTTTGGTGGCACGCCAGCTGATTTTTCACCCTTCCAGAGGGCCAGGGAAGGCCATTTATGCTCTCCCCAGGCTTCAGGAAAGCCTCTGGAGGCTGGGGAGGGCGAAAAACGGCTTCCACTGGCCTTCCGGAAGGGCAAAAAATCAGCTGGCTGGCGGGCAGCCCCGGCCTTCCGGAAGCTGGAAATGGATTGTTTCCAAACTTCCGGTTGGCCTGTTGGGGCCGTTTTCGCCCTTCCCCAGGCTTCAGGAAAGCCTCCGGAGCCTAGGAAGGGGTCGCGCATGCATGCGCAGGTGGGCGGGGAGATTGAGTGAGCATGCTCGCATGCGCGATAGCGCGTGCAATTTTGACATGCCGTAAGAAAAAAGTTGTCCATCACTGACCTAGGAGGACAGTCTAACGGATTTTTATTAAAAGGCAGGTGTCTTCTGCACAATAAAATTTACTGTTCACAGAAGCTGCGACTGGCAGCAGACACCCACACATGACGGTAAGAGAAGAGGGTTTGATTCATGCATGTTCTCTGTTGCAGCTCCAGCCCTCTAGAATGATTTCCCGGTCGAGATCCGGATCCTTACTACCCTCCCGGCCTTCCGCAAAGCCACCAAGTCCTGGCCGCTCCAGCTGGCCGGGGGGGGGGTGCTTTGAAATATCCAGCCCCACGGAAATTGTGAATGTTGCGGTTTTGTTTTTAAAGGTTTTTTTTTCTTGGTTTTCCCCTTT